AAATCAAAATAATGGATAAATGTTGTGTTTGTGGTAAACAGCCACGGATCAGGAGCGGACTGCTGCTCTAAAGCTCTAATCGGTTTTCTTTTGGAAATGTTTCAAATTCACACTGAATGCATTAATGACTGTAAAGCATGTCTGTGTGTGTCAAAATCGTGATTAAAATTGAAATCGCAAAATTTATCAAAGAAATCGCGATAGGGTTTTTTGTCCATATCGCACAGCCCTAGTTTACATGTAAATTGTTAGTGTTTAAAGATGCTTTAAATGACCACAAAGTACAGTAAATGTAAAAACGGTGAAATGAGCATGCACATCTAAATGTGCAACAAGGAAACAAGCTATTTTCTGTGAATGTGCGTGGCTTCCGATTACTAGCTGCCATAGAAGAATAACAAAGAGCGGTAAAAGATAATAATATTTGCACTACAAGCCAGTGTTTCTGATGATGATAAGTGAAAATAATGTTAAATATCATTTTGTAATATCAAGCAGCATGACCAACTGTTTTCGTACAGCTAAAATAACTGGAAGCGAATGACACCTTCAAGTTACATATGGCCGCAACCACACTTATGTTAAAAATAAGGTGCATATATATAGGCCGATATATCCAGTATCTCAATAAATAAAAAATATCTCCCATTTAGCCCTATAACCAATACAGCACCGATATAGAGCCACCAAGAAATTCCGATGTATTTGTTGTTCCCAGAGGCCATGTGGAGAGTTGCAGGGGCTGTTATCTCAGCAGGGAGTTGAGTTGGTGGGGCCGTTAACGCTCCCCTGCTGACTGACAAGGTCACATGCTTCAACTCTCTTAGTTTTTCTAACGTCTATGTAAATGAGAGGACTGCTAGCTACAGCAGCAGCAGCACTGATCCTTATTATCCCAGCTACTTCCCCAGACATTAATCACGACATTCACCGTGTCTGTCTAACTTGTCTTCAATCTTCAGTGATCCCATGGTTTTCCTGGCATAGCCTTTCCTCATCAAACTTCATATCCTCATCAGTTTCCTTCTGTCGCGGCCGTTCCCTGTAAACATCCTCTGCTCTTCCAGGCTCCCCAGTCACCTTTTTGATAGATTGTGTGACTAGAACGCTCATTAGCTGTGAGTCAGCTGGGGCATTGATAACCTATAGAACGGTGGCTAACCTCCGCGCTTCCCCTGTGCGGTGGTGGTGCCGCTGTCCCCCGTGTCAACCACCCCTTCCCTTAAAGCCCGGTGAGGCCAGAACATTCATCATCCGCAGTCAGATCCTGCTTCGATAATGTATGATGTGTCGCAGTTCAGGGGTAGGCGAGCAGAGTGGGGAGGCCAGGAGAAGCAGTGAGGTGGGTATTGATTAGGCCAAACCCCCCCTTCGTCCGTCTGTCATCGCTCCAGCTAAGAGGAGGAGGGCGTGATGAAATAAAAGGAGGAGAGAGGGGCTTGCCGGGCTGTAAAGGACGTGGCTAATCAGCAGCCTCGGCACCCACTTCTTGAAGTTAATTTTTGGAGAGATTCCCCCTAGTGACCTCTTCTCACACATGTACTCACTGTCACTTCCTCTCACACACTATTCTCTCACCTGCTGTCTCGCATATTTTCTGAACCCTCTCTCTCTAAATCATGAAGACGTCAGTGTGTCCTCGCTTCAGAGGCCTAGTTCATTAACAGTCATATATCTGCCAATTAAATGACTATCAATGGTTCCATTTATAAGTCTGAGCCCTCTCTCTCTCTCTCTCTCTCTCTCTCTCTCTCTCTCTCTCTCTGTGTGTCTTTCTATCTCCAAGAGTGTCTTGGCCGAGACCGTAGAGGAGAGGAAGGGGTGTGGAGGGTGGGGGCAGTGGCCACACAGCTGCGCTAGCTGGCACTGCTTCCTCAAACATTAGTGCCGCAGCCAGCAGCCTGCTTGGCACAAACACTCGCCAGTAACACTTAAACAAATTGCTATAGCAGTGGAAGAGCTGTCTTACATTGTTGATTTCTAACATTCCGAGATACTTTTTCTCCCCCCCCTCGCTTTGCATTTCTTCGCCTTTGGATGCTTTCAGCTTTTGGAATGCTCTGTGTTTTGAACGCACGCCCAATAATTTTCCACCGCTCGCTCTTGTTCTCTCACTTTCTCTCTGAATATCAGGCCCCCATGGGTCTCCTCTTCCTCCACAGCTCTCAGAGTCATTCTTAATTTTTCTGTTCCCCTCATCCGGTTAATTCTTTTCACACTTTTCTTCATCCGCTCCACCTACGTTTTCCCCCACGTATTTCTTTATTACAAGTTTATTTTTAATGCATCATTTTATTATGTTCTATATATAGTGAGTTAAAATAATAATAAATAAATAATGAATTACAATGAGTTAAAAAGTAATGTTAATGAAATATAATTTATTTGGTATGTATAATTTATATAACAAAACTATGATGGATGGATGGATGGATAGATAGATAGATGATAGATAGGATACACGTTATATATATTGTAATGTAACATATACATACTGTGTGTGTGTGTGTGTGTGTTTATATATATATATATATATATATATATATATCCCCTTTAAATTTATCTTATTTTTGTGTCTGTATATACACTGAACAAAATTATAAATGCAACACTTTTGTTTTTCCCCCTATTTTTCATGAGCTGAACTCAAAGATCTAAGACTTTTTCTATGTACACAAAAGGCCTATTTCTCTCAAGTATTGTTCACAAATCTGTCTAAATCGGTGTTAGTGGGCACTTCTCCTTTGCCAAGATAATCCATCCACCTCACAGGTGTGGCATATCAAGATGCTGATTAGACAGCATGATTATTGCACAGGTGTGCCTTAGGCTGGCCACAATAAAAGGCCACTCTAAAATGTGCAGTTTTA